TTTGTAATATATCCTCTGATCCTCAAGACTTAGCCTTTCGGGTCATGGGGCAGGTGGACAATTTCCATATTTTCCTAGGACAAGGTGGATACAATGTAATCAAGTAATTTGCAACTTTATAGCAAAGAAGATGATTATTCCAGTTTCCAAAATCTTGCTAGCCAATTGTGTATGAGACCTCTTGAGAATGATTTTTGTCCTCAACATAATATTTTATATTAATGATTTGGGAATTTCATACAATGCACCCCTATTACGTTTACTTCTCATTTTTTTTTTTTTTGAGAGGAGGAGATTGTCACAGAGGTTTCTAATGTCTCTCATTCTCAGTTATGTGTCTGTAGTCATTGGAAAAGAAGCTTCCTTGCCCATAGCAGCTGTCAGTAGCATGGATCATGGACATAAACACGGTCTCAGACAACCTGTTAGATACAGGACTTCAGTATGGTTTCTGGTGGCAGCTCAGATCATGCATATCCACATGGTCCCCAACTGGCACCATGAACCATCGTGGACATTAGCATGGCCTCCAGTGGAAACAAGGACCATAGACATCAATAAGACCTTCAATGGCAGCAGGAACAACAGAAGTCTTTCAAGGAGAGTTAATTAAAAAAATACAGCCATTTTTCGTCTCCTATATCTTCTTCTTGTTCAGAGTCAGTGAGGTTGGCATTGTGTCCCAGGGCAGGACCTGTGGGAGCTCCAAGCTGCTCTATACCACCGTGCCATTGCCAGCCACCCTGCTGGCACCCCAGCAGGGCCAGCCTGCTTGCAGCCTGTGGGCAGCACTGGAGGCCGGCCTAAGCTTCCATGGGTCTGTCAGACTCCTCAGAGCAGCACCTCAGAACAGTGGTGCTGGCAGCTGCTGCCATCTTGAATCCCAGAATGATTTTTGTGTATGTGTCTACATTTTAGTTAACATTCTGGTCTCAAACAAGCTTTGCATTTTTTTTTTGAGTCTTCTTTTGTCTTTAGCCTTTACCAGAATAACTTCAAATTCCTTCTAAGAAAAAAGTCTTTGTTTCTTGCAGGCCACATGAATATATTATAGAGATTCAGCTGTGTGTTAAAGCTAAACTTTGACCAGCCAAAGGTTTGTCAAAAGGCAAAGCCATTTATTATGAATATTTGGTGCTACCCAGCCTTTAATATTCCAGCTGTCTTCTGCTATGAGATCCTTGGGTGCCCAGACCAATTGGCAAACAGTTCAGCTCTCCAGATCTGCTGAACCTACTAAGTTACTAACTGCCCTGCTGAGCTTAGGAGACAAGCTGGCAGGAGAGGCATAGCTTTCTTTCTTGTGCTAATGAAGCACAGACCATTCCCTCGCCTTGAGGAGGCCTAGTGGTTCTCCAGAGCAATTGACTGAGAACAAAAGAGGGTTTACTTATCAAGGTGAGAAGTAAAACAACATTCCTGAGGAGCCAGAGAACTGTGTGCCCATTCTGACTGAGAAACAGTCAGAATGTCATGGCAAGAGAAAAGAGAGGATGACAGAGGTTCTGTAGAGAGTAAACAGATCTTGGGTAGAGTTTTCTGAGTGCCAGGAGTAGAGAGCAGCAGAGATGGAGAAAGAGGATACAGAGGACGAAGATGAGGCTGAAAGCATAAGAGTTAGTTGTTAGCTGGACTATGAGCTAGGGAACTGGACAGAACTGTAGTTATGGAGACAGGATTTCATCTCAGAGAAATAAAGTAAACAGATATGGAGCTTGGTGTGTCTAGAGTTATTCCTACCTTGAATGCCTGGTGGAGCTATAGCTGAATTGATAGAATTTTGTCTTAGAGGAATAAAGTTGACAGATATAAGAACATAGTGTACGTAGATTTTTCTCCCTCAAATAATCCTACGCCGAATGTAGCTAAGCTCCTAGACGCTGGGTATTCCATATTTGTTAAAGATCAGTTATGGTAGACAGAGGCAGAGAAGTTGTGAATTGGAAGACAGCCTGGTTTCAAAGTTATTATGTAGCTCAGTTAGCCTTGGCCTCTGTATACTTGCATGTCCTGAGTATTGGGCTCACAGTCTTGTCAAACACAACTGCTCACACTGTCTTAATTACTATGTTTCATTCGACTTTTGATTTCAAATTGAGCTCTGCTTATATAATTTACAGGCTTATCAACTCATTAATACTTGTATCATATGATTTATGACTTATGGTTCACTTAGCCTATATTTTATCATGGAGGATAATACACACTGGAAATAAATGACTGGGTAAACTGCTCTTAAGACTCTATCTAAAAAACAATGTGAATTTTAAAATGTTTGATGGTACTTATGATTAACTTTAAAAATCAAATTATTGTTAATGATGACCGTGCTTTTAATAGTATTATATCTCTTAACAAAAAAGCAAAGATAATTGTTGAAATCTAATTTACTCCAAATTGTAAAAAAAAAAAAAAAAAAAATGAAAAAGAAAAACATTGGATGTTTAGGCTGTGCCTTGGCCCGGGAGACTGTGTTTTACTTTGACTCTGTCTTAAGGAAGAAAGATGATCGCAGCCCCTGGATGGACCGAGAAGCTAAATATCTGTCAAGCACCACCCACTGAGCACAGACTGATACATAAGTTATTTTTGGAAATAGAAAGGAGCCACCCTATGTGGTGATGTTTTATTTGTGCTTTAATAAAGTTTGCCTGGAGATCAGCAGAAATAGCAAACCATTTTAAGTAAATATAGAAGTCAGGCAGTGGTAGCATGGGCCCTTAATCCGATGGGTCTCTGTATGTTCAAGGCCACACCAGAGAAATGAGCCAAGCGTAGTGACACATGCCTTTAATTCCAGTACCAACCATAGAGACCTGGAGGCCTGTACAGACAGGAAGTGACAAGGAAGTGAGGTAGCTGGACTAAGATAGCCAGTGGGGGGGCAGAACAGCAAGGCAATAAAGACGAGGTTAAGACAGAAAGTAGCTCACACTTGGAAGCTGCAGAGCTGGTGAGGTAAGGTTGGCTGGTGACTATTCCCATTTCCCTGATCTCTATGGCTTTCACCCCTGTATTTGGCTCAATGTTTTTTATTTAATTAGACCACTTAGAAATTCATCTACAACCCTATAATTTATCAAGGTGAAGAGACACTTACTGTAGGGTATATGGGTATGTTAAAATTATATCAGAGAAACCAGTTCCCTAAACTTATCAGACCATGTTAAACCAAGGAAATGATGTAATTTCTTCACTTGGACCCCATAATGTGATGGACATCTAATTTGCTATGGCATGGTCCCACACCAATGTATCAGTTGATACCTGCTACGTACATCATGAGCCTCCAAGCAGAAGATTCCACAACTGTCCTCAGAGCTTTGACTCAGCTTCCATCCTTGCTTCTGATGTGACCTATTCAACTGCCTGCCCATCTATACCTTGAACTTGGGCTTGAACTTTCCATTTCCTGATCCCAGACCCTGTCTTGGTCTTTAACCTTACATATGGACTTCTTAAAATTGCAACTCTAACAGCTCCAGAAACAGCTCCCCCAAGACAATAATCTGGTTCATTATCTTATCAATATAGACTCTCTCAGCCTAAATCAGAAATATTTGAACTCTTATCAAGTTCTTTCTTGAACTTGTACTCATTCTTTAAAATGTGTGCGTGTATATATACATATATATATATGCACAGATATATTTAGAGTATACTGTGTGATATGAAAGTTAATATTTGTAATTAAGAATGAAATAAGAAAGCTTGCTTTCATGTTGGCCAATCTACCAATGTAGGTGGAATTATATAACAAAGTGTCTGTGAAACTGCTGAACCTTGTGAATTTATTGCCATTCAATAGATTCTGACATTGTAGAAAGATACAAAAGTGTTCAAATATGTTTCTGGCATAGCGTTCTTTTAAAAACAATCAGCTTTATTTCCTTAATGATCTATAGGTTTATGGAGCTGGGCATTTCAATTTAAAAAATCATTTTATTGTTGACTTTTAAAACTTTTTACCAAAAGATATATTTTCTATAAAATCTTCTGTGCCTGGATGCTGCTAAAGTATAATTTACTATATAACTTTTGTGAACAACTTTTCATTATCCTACATCTCAGTTTGTAATTTTGAGCAGAAGAAGACCATCAACATAAGCCTTCTAATCAGATGGGAAAACAAAATAGTTTTAAAAATTACATCCATATTTCTTTTTAAATATTTTCTGTACAGCTGATTTGATAGGCTATTTTTTCATGTTAATTTGAGTTATTATCTCATGTCTTTTAGTCTGCTGGAGGCCAGTTAGGACAGATCTGCTGGTCATGAATGACTTAGTTTTTCTTTCTCTAGGAATATCCATTTTTCCTCATCAGCTGTGAGAATTGTGCTGTGTATGGAATTCTTTCTGATATTTCCTGGACATTGTCATGGCCCTGAACAGTCACGTAGCTGTCAGGGGTATGTAAGGTCTTTTTGGAGGTCCTGTGTACATCTTCTCAAGAAAGTCCATTATGGAGTTTTGTTTTTCCAAACTACTACTCTCAACATAGAAAATTTTTTTAAACAACCACAGCTGGTGGCTGCAGACTAATGACCTGCAGACAGGAATTTCCCTACTGAGCCGTCTCTGAGTCAGAACAGTTAATTTATGCCCTTCAGTTGGAGCATTTTCTAAGAGCTGAGAGGTATTCTTAGAGCCTGTCTTAGAGGTAGGACCAGTGTTCTAGCCTTGGGAGTTTTGGCTGAGCTTTACACTGTAATCGTAGCCCTTTTTCTTTGACGTTCCTTTCTTTTTCAATTGAATGTCCTGTTTTGATAATAATTAAAAGACAAGTTAAATTAAGCCCTTATAGGTAATCTATTTTATTTCACTTAACCGTGTCACAAATACTTTGCTAATTATTAAAAGTAGCCCAGTTTGAGGAAAATGAAACAGATGGGCTACGTGATTTTAAAATTTCAGAGAGTCCATGAACATCTATTATAGTAGTACATTAAGACATATTTAGAGATTATAATTTAGATAGAATTGATTTTTTCAATTATAATGGATAAAGGAAAGCAAATAAAGCTCAAGAGAGACCTTGGATATTTCTGGGGGGTCAATTTTCTAATTATTAATATAATTGGTGCAGGAATTTTTGTGTCCCCTAAGGGGGTGCTGGAGTACTCTTGCATGAATGTGGGAGTCTCCTTGTGTATTTGGGCTGCCTGTGCGGTGCTGTCCATGACCAGTGCTCTCTGCTATGCAGAGATCGGAATAGCCTTCCCATACAGTGGGGCTCACTACTATTTCATCAGGAGATGCTTTGGCCCTTTCATGGCCTTCTTGAATCTTTGGACCTCCTTGTTTCTGGGCCCAGGGCTAACTGCCAGTCAAGCACTGTTACTCGCCGAGTATGGCATTCAGCCTTTCTATCCCAGCTGTTCTTCTCCGAATCTACCAAAGAAATGCCTTGCCCTGGCAGTGCTGTGGATTGTGGGAATTCTGAATTCTCGTGGTGTGAAAGAGCTGTCATGGCTTCAGACAGTGAGCACCGTGCTGAAGATTGGCATACTGGGCATCATTTCCCTCAGTGGGGTGTTCATGTTGGTGAGAGGGAAGAAGGAGACTGTGGGAAGGCTTCAGAATGCTTTCGATGCAGAGTTTCCGGAGATCTCCCAGATAACAGAAGCTGTCTTCCAAGGATACTTTGCATTTTCAGGCGGGGGATGCTTTACATTCGTAGCAGGTAATTATCAATCTTCTGGGGAGGGGGTAGGAATCAGTTCATGGCTGATACAGTGCATGTATGAAATGAACATCTTTCATTGTATTTAAAGGATTCAACTATCTTCCTTGACTTTCCCAATGTGTTTATGGAAATCGAACGATTACTTTCATGACAAAACTTGTCTTTTATTGAACAATCTCCCCTTTTCTTCTTTCTTTTCTGGGACCATATATTTGACACTCCCAGTGAATCTAGTTTTCTTTCTGTTAATGTGTAAATGAATTCAGGAAAACCTGATTGTGCTGGTGTAGTGACCATAGTGCATTCAGGTTCTTTGCTAGTTATTTAGGTTCTTTACTATTTTTGCGATTATATTTTCTTATTAATTTTTTCCTTTTGTTGATGAATGTCTCTCTCTCCCCCTCCCCTCTCTCTCTTCCCCTCCCTCCCTCCCTCTCTTTCTCTCCTCTTTCCCTCTCTTCTCCACTGTCTCAAAAGAGGTTATCTCCAGCTTCTACTTGAACCCAGTTTCACATTGTTGTTTTTGTGCTAGAGATGTTTCATGTTTAGGTAGCTTTCTCTGCCATAAAAGATCTAGAACACTGCTTACAGCATCTTGAATAATGTAGAATCTCTTTCAAACAGATGACAGTAAAGAGTGGGGCGGGGGTTAAACCTCATGAAGTTTCTGCTCACCTTCTGTTCCTACGCTCTGAACACAGAGCTTATTTTCCACTTGAGGAGCCTGGAGATGAAGGAAGGGTACAAATGGAACAAGAATCATGAGCCCATGCTCTAGTGTCTTCAGAAGAGGATCAGTGCGCAAAAGTTTGACTGTGTGTGTGTGTGTGTGTGTGTGTGTGTGTGTGTGTGTGAGTGAGAGAGAGAGAGAGAGAGAGAGAGAGAGAGAGAGAGAGAAGGGGGAGGGGAGAAAGATGGCTATAGAGTGGACAGAAAGAACAAGGTCCAAAATTTGACACATGAACAATTTTTTTGTTTGGTTTTTTGAGACAAGGTTTCTCTGTGTGGCTTTGGAGCCTTTCCTGGATCTCGCTCTGTAGCTTTGCTGGCCTCAAACTCACAAAGATCCGCCTGCCCTCACCTCCTGAGTGCTAGTTAGTATTAAAGGTGTGAGCCACCACTGCCTGGCAACACATGAACAATTTTAAAGATAAATTTAAGATACACATTTTTAAACAGAGACTGATGCTTCTCTTTATCCATTATAGGAGAACTGAAGAAACCCAATAAAACAATTCCTAGATGTATATTTACAGCACTGCCTCTGATAACTGTGGTGTATTTACTGGCTAACATTTCCTACTTGACAGTTCTGACTCCCAGGGAAATCCTCTCAACAGGTTAGTATACAAATGACAAGAGCATAAATAAAATGCAATCCTTTTAGTACAGTTAAGTGTCATTTTTGCTATTTATTACAAATTCATACTGATGATTGTTCTATATTGAATCTACTCATTTTTTAATCTGGTTGAAAAGCATATGATTTGGTTTAGAAGCAAGATTCACATTCCAGCACAGCCTTGCATTTTCTGATAACCTGGAAAAGGTATGTATAGTGCTGGCCGATGTCATAGATCAGATTCAAAACATTAGTTATTGCTTTAATGATCTCAACAGAGTGACACAATGCAATCAGTAGTGGGATTTTTAAAAACTTTCAAAATGCTTGCTTTTCAATAATTTGAGTAACACCAAGAAAGAAAAATTTGAAATTTATGATATTGGTTGAATAAGGAAACACTGAATGTCAATTGGTGACTATGATTAATATATAAAATGTTTATCTTAAAGAACTCTAAAATTTTGTGGTAGATAAGGACCCTGAATATATTGAAAATTCTTTAGAAATTCTTGTCTTACAGGCTAAAAATTTCAAATGAAAGCAAAAAGAATATACCTGGTATTGTGATGCTTAACTGTAATTCAGAATATGCAAAGCTGCGTCAGGATGTAATGACTTTAAAACAAGCCTGAATAAATAGACAGACCATATATGTATGTATGTAAGTAAGTATGTGTTCACGAATTGAAAGACTATCATGACATAAATAAGCACCCTAAATCCTAAATTGAACAACAGATTCAAAGGATAAAATGAAATATGGGTTAGAAAAAAGTAAAACAAGGAAAATTGAATACCAACAATTTTCTCATACCATCTTTCAACTTCTAGTTATCACTTGCTGAGATAAATTTATTACTAGGTGTTCTGGAACTAACCCATTTTGAGCAACTATTCTTATTTTAGTAAGTGTCTGAAGCATTGTATGTAAATCTAAGTGAAGCTTTAGAAAACACTATTTATTGACGTAAAACTACATATTTATGTAGCATTATGTGGTGGTTCATTATATTATATTCAATGTGTAATACTAAAAATCATTATTCTCATCTCCATAAACACAATAATTTATTTATTTGTGGGGCATTCAAGCCTAAGAAAAGGTTTAACAACAGCAAATTGCCTCAAGTGGAATGTGACTGCTCTCCAGAATGTTGTCTTGTGGTGTATTGTTCCAGAGTTGACATGTTATCATTCTAGGTATCCTAGTGATGAGAGCATAAATGAAACCAAGTTTTTGTGGGAACAAACCAAATGTAACCCTGGATAAACCTAGACAGTGACTCACTAACTGCTTTGACTGTTTGGGTCCATTTGTAACCTTAGTTGTGGGTGTGACCACAGCCACTGGCCATCGAGAATGGCTGCTGCGATTTCTTGAGGCTGGTACTTATTATGCCTGACAGTGTTCTTGACATATTGATCATTTATGAATTGGAAAACCTTCTCTGGCATGTTGCAATGATTGAAGTCATTGTGTAGTTAGAACAATAGTTAGGGATTGTGTGGGAAACTTGGGAAGTTTCTGACTAATGTAGCTAGTAGTTTGGTTTTTTACTGCTTTCTCTTTGGGTCTTCTAATCCACAGACTTAAGGTAAACTCCAAATTACTATATGTAAATTTTAATACCTATTCTTTTATTATATTAGGAATTTAAATTTAAAAAATATGCAGAACCATATGTAAAAATGTAGATTTATGGAAAGTCACTGTATCATCAGTTATGGCAGGACAAAAGTAAATATCACCAAAATAACCAGTAGTTTCCAGTAAATGACATAAGTAAATCTGTATAACAGAGCACTCAGAGCCTTGAAAAGGCCCTATTGTTGGTGGATACTAAGAGGACAATGGTTATAATGTATGAATAACGGAAATGGCAGGCTCCAGATTCTCAAGAAATAGAAACTTGTGAACAGCAGTGGTCAGCTGGGATGGGACTGTGGGTGATTTGTTATTTATTATTAATACTAAATTTAAATAGGTTCATGACTTTTATGACTAGTGTGGAAAGCTATCAACAAAAAAATAAGCACTTAAAGTTATGAGTTCAAAGGGTTGGGGGTAGATTTTGTCACTCGAGTATAACAAAAAGACCTCACAGTTTTGTAAAGGAAATGTGGGATATTTATAACAGTATGAATTGGATGTTACATTTTATTCAAGGCACAGTGGATAAAATTATGACAATCTGCTCTATTAGTTCCTTTGTAAGGTGTTCAAGTCCTAGTGTCAGATCTCTGACCTGTTTCCTTATTTATTGTTCCCTTAAGGGGAAAAATGGAATTTACATTGTGAAAAGTTCTATGAAGAAGGATGTCCCATTAGAATGAGGGATGTGGACATAGCATTGTAAGGATTCCTGGGTCCACCATTTTCACCCTAAGAACAAAAGTGTTCCAGAAATCCTGCTGACAGAGTGTTTACACAGTGTTCTAGAGGCTTCTAAGCCATGCTAAAACTAGGGGGTATTAACCTATGGCAAGACAGTGTGAAACATAAAGAGGTTATGTGGAGACAGAAGCTAAGGCTTCGTTGTTCAGGCACAGCTGGTAGGAAGCTTGTCTCAAGTGCTAGGTGTGTTTAAGGGGTTGGATATGTAAGTGGGAATTTTAGAATTAGTTTCTGATAGATACATTCATTTGTTGGAGGGTAACTTTGTAAAATTTCTCTCATTGAAGAATGTATACACTCACTAGTTCCTTTTCAAAGAAGTCCCACCTCTAGTACCTCAGTGGGTAATTATAGAACTATTTAGAACTGAACATGTGAGGGGTTAAGTCAAATATTTAGATGCTGTCATTCTCAGGGGTATCAAGTCTGAACTATTTTACTTTCGATGATTTTTCAGTAAGTCATTTATTTCTTCGTTTTCCTTCTTTGGATTCTCAGGCTTGCTATATGCCCTGGGTTGCCTGCAATAAGCTCCTTCTGCCTCCTGCTGCCCACGTTCTAGCATTACAGATGTGTTCCACCAAGTGCAGCTTTAAAGCACATTGTCTATCTGCCAAAACACTAAAAAAAAAGTTATATAAATCTATCAATACAGAATGACTACATGACTTCTGTTTAAAGAACAAAATAGTGAGACTTACCTAAAGCACTTATATGGATGTGTATGTGCATATAATCAAAGTATGTTAGAAAGTGAACAAAAGCAAATTCAATGTTCATTTTACCAAAGACATGTATGAAGTAGTTTTTAAATGAAATAAATATGGAAATGAATAGAACAATGAAAACAATCACTTGTTGAATAGAGTTAAGATGAAGGAAGGAGTACTGTGAATAAGTTTTTCTACTCAATGCTGGCAGAGCTACACATGGTCTGTCTTTGGTTGTCTTAAATCACACTGTAGAACACCCACCAAGAAATCGAAGGAGATTTCCATTGCAGTGTAGGGAAATCATTTCTAACTCTATCTGAAAGTGTGCAGTGTGAGTGTTTGGGGGAGCAACAACAAGACATTACTTCAAATTAATTAGAGCTGCAGCATGGGGTTCTTTTAAGTAACACCCCAAATGGTGGGAGATTCAAGAGAAAAGCGATGTGACACTCAGGTCTTTTTAAAATGGGTTAAGAGCTAGGCATGGTGATATGTGTCTATGATTCCAGAATTTAGGGAACTGAGACATGAGGATCATGAGTTTGAGGCTAACCTGAGCTACACAGCAAGTTCTCGGACAGTTTGAATTACATAGAAGACCCTATTTCTAAATAAAAAAAACATTTGAAAATCTTATGGCTTGTTACGGCTCGGTATACTGAAGTCCTAGAGACCTCCTAGAAACCAACTACCTATGCATAAAATGATGACTCAAAGGACATCTACCTCCCAAGGACATTAGGCTCCGCTCTGCTCATTCTCTTGAAACCTGAAGAGTTGTCATTCTGTTAGAATCCTCTGCCCAGCAACATGAGTCTACATAATACAAATTTGCCTCAAGCAAATTCCCACAAGTGATGGATATTGGTGGTTTTTGTACCACCTGGAATGGTTAAACCAATGTTCATAATATCTCTTCATCTTGAAACAACAAAAGAAATAAAAATGAATGTTCTATACCAGTAGGTCCACTACAGGAGTTCCCAGCTTCAATATCATCAACAATTTGGAGTGTGTGAATTTTGTTTTGGGGTTCTGGGTATTGAACACAGAGCCTCACAGATGACAAGTATTCTGACATTGAGCTAATTCTTTGAAGCTGTCCTTCCCATCACCAGAACACATGACTGCTACTTACTAGGATGCCAACAGCAAGCTGCTACCTAATTTATGGAACATCAGACAACTCACCAGACATTGTCACATGACTCCTGAGGAGCAAAGTCACCTCTAGCTGAGAACCACTGTTCAGAAGCTTAGACAAGCTTCAGAAGTTATAAGTATTTTAACTACTTGTAATGTCTATGTTCATCTTTTATGTACATTATGTTGCACTAACAAATTCCTCCCAAGTGCCCGCCTTGAGGAGATTTCTACCAGGGTCTAGAACAGATGCTACAAGAAGATAAGGATACTAATCTGAGGGATATCACATGAATCTAAGCACACTGAGTTCTTTAGTCCATTCACTTTATTCGTCTAAGTCAATTCTATCTACACAGTTTCTTTTCTGTTCTCATAGTTAGCTCTTCTCAGTCCCTTCTGCTCTCAGTCCCTTCTTCATGTCTATCCAGTTCTTTCCATCTTCATCCTCATCTTGATCTTCTCAGTCAGTTCCCCAAGTGCTGTGAGGGAACCAGTATATATACACAAGCAGTAATTCTTTGGCAAAGCAACATGAAGTTTGAAGTTTTCAGGGTTGCAGAGAGAGGGGTGATAAGCAATAATTGTCAGCTTCCAATTACAACCCCAAAGGGGAGTGACTAAAGGGGAGTTCTCTGGTAGGGTCTACTAAAGACTAAGATCAATCAGGGAATTTATGTGCTCAAACTGTAATCTAGAATTGGCTAGGTAGAATGTTAGGGATCAGTAAGTCACTAGAAAGTAAATTGTCTTTGGTGCCGCTTCTACCCCCCACTCACCCCTGACCCTTCCACCCCAACTCATCCTGGCTGCAGCTGCTTTCTCATAAGGAAGGGGACATATGCTCAGTGGCTAAGCAACCTATGTAAGAGCATGTAGCATTTGGTTAGTAAAAGCACTTTCTCTCAGAGTAATTGCTGAGGAGAAAAATCTAGGAATAGCACCCGACTGAGGAGGAATTAAAACTTAATTTGCACAAGAAAGAAGCTTGGCACCTATCACTTCCCTGGCCTTGATGGCAATCTCCTTGAGTCAGTGCTACTAGCAAGTGGCTAAAACATCATCCCAGGAATGTGAGCAGTAAATCTCTTAAGGTGTTGTGTAAATAATCCGGGGTGAAGGTAAGGAGTTGAAGATTTAATTGCTAGTGGTTCTTTTCTTTATCTGTGGGTGAGATGAGCTAATGTTTATCTATGTTCAGTTTTGTCCTTGGAAAAAGGTATCTTTGCTGAAATACTTTTGTCCAGAGAATGGCCCTGGCCAGATTTATGTTAATGAAAAATAAACAAAGCTGGGGACAGTTATCCAATTACCCCAAATGTATAGGGAAAGTTGTGCCCAAGATTGAGATGCAATCGTGAGATTACATGTACACATAACATGGAAATGCACGGTAAATGGGGAGAATCATAGCTGTTATTGCACAAGTTTACATCAGGAAACAGCCAATTCTTTCAAAAGGCAGTAATTCCATAACACCTTGTATGATGGTTTACTCTAACAGAACCCTTAGTTCTGATAGGTTGACCTCCTGAACTCTAGTTGTCACTGCTGTATACTCTCATGGACTTTTGCTGCCAGTGGCTCTCAATATTTCACTGTAGTTGGATGAGTTTCATTTCTCTGTAAACAGTGCTCTGCTGCCCTTTTCTGACTCTGAAGCAGTTTGTCAGTATTCTATGTGCTAGTTTTAGACAATAAGCATGCCTTCAAATATTCTCTCAACACAATTAACACATTTAAGTAGTTACTAAAAATTAACTAGGTTGTGCCTGTCAATGAATGAATTAATCATGCTATATACAAGATAGGAGGGATCTTTGTCTTCATGAAGCTCCTGGTCTTTGGGGGAAGACATTAAAAAGAACCATTCATTGTGCAGTGTGATGAACTAAAATGTACATAAACCTAAGTTATGACTTAAATGTGAAAAAGGAAATAACAAAGTTAAAATCTCTTCTTAGATTTTTAGATTTTTTCTTTGTATTATTATTGTTTCTTTGTAATATTATTGTTTTATCATTAGATTTTTTTTCTCAACACACTTGCTTTTGTGTATTTTTTCTCTGCAGATGCTGTGGCTATTACATGGACTGACAGAGTTTTTCCACAATTAACATGGACTGTTCCCTTTGCTATTTCTGCCTCATTATTTAGCAACCTTGTGATTAATGTACTTGAGTCAGCAAGAGTGTCATATATTGCAGGTGACCAAGGCCAGCTGCCCTTGATGTTTAGTACCCTTAATGTTCACTCATCCCCCTTCATAGCTGTGCTTCTAAATGTCAGTATGGGATCCATTGCAATTGTCTTAACAAACTTAATTGAACTGATCAACTATCTTTATTTTATGGATTCAATTTGGACTATGTTATCCATGATAGGAATCTTGAAATTGAGGTACCAGGAGCCCAATCTACACAGACCTTATAAGGTAAAAATGGGCTGGGTAAATTTGTTCTATGTGAAGCAAGATACTTAACATTATTGAAGGACTATATTCAAAAGATGCAGGAGTAAATAGGTTATCACTCAGCAACTTGAGAAGCAAATAATGACAATCTGGTCTTTATTTTTATTTTAAATTTTGGTTCATTGGTTTTACCCAACAGAAAACCTCTAAAGTTCTACTTAAGGATTTGGGTAAGATAAAGATAGTTCTTTAGGCAAAGGACAGGGCATTATGAATCTTTTGACATGGTATTTCTTTGTTTAGTTATGTTCCTATCTGTGTATGCCATTATCCTCTACAGTCAGGAGCAGATTTAACAAATGAGAAATAGATGCTATTCTGAAATTTCAATACTTCTTGCTTAACAACAAATTCTATCTCTTCAACTTTTCTACTTATGAACTTTCATCCTAGATGAGGAAATAGTTTATAGGAGAGAGAATGGTTCTTTAATCCTAGAAGAAATCTTCTTTGGAAGATTGTTGGGATCTTCACTGTGTCTTAAAATCTCCTTCTGAATAAGCCATGCCATCTATGCCCACAGTGGTCATCTCTTCAGCAAATGTTTATGACTATTTCCATTCATGAAGAGTCAAAATAGAAGTTCATTCTCTCACACCACACCTTCACCAACAGGAATCTCCAACACTTTTCTTTCTGGGGGGTTTATCTGAGTGCTGAGCATATCTGCCTAACAAAGTATCTTATTTGGTCTGATTTTATCATTAGCATAGTATTTTTGCTTGTAGATACGTAGCTACCACACATGGATTTTCACATCTAATTACTTTATTAAATTTTATCTTTTTAGGTATTTTTGCCATTCACAGTCATAGCAATGGCCATCAGCCTGTGCTTGGTCTTGATTCCCCTTGTCAAGTCTCCAAAGATGCATTACATCTATGTGCTCCTCTTCCTTCTCAGTGGACTGCTGTTTTACATGCCATTGATACACTTTAAAGTGAAGTTGGTTTGGTTTGAGAAGCTGACCTGCTATCTGCAATTACTGTTTAATATTTGCATCCCTGATGTATCTGATAAACAGGCATCCTCATTTTAAAAACAAATTTCAAATAAAAAAATTTAATGATGGTAACTTTCAAAACTGAAATAATATAAATAAAAGTACCCAAGAAAGGCTTGGCTTTAAAATAAGGAAATAATTGTTACATATGACCAAAGCCCTGCTTTGATGCAAAAATTTAAGTCTCAGTTTGTGCAATTCCATATACAGTTGATGTATTTTTCCATTTTTCTGCTTATTCTCTAGAGCTTCCATTTTCTATTGAATTTCTAGTTTCCTTAAAATCAAAGTTAATGATTTAAATTTTTTTTAAAAAAGTGTTGTCTTTATATTTCTTGAGTGCTTATTTGGTGCTGTTTTGAAGATAAAAAGATCAATTTTATCTGTCCTGTTTGCATTTCCTTGTTAGAGTTGTAGATTTGGTCTTACCACAGGCCCCTGCGATAACTAGTCTCAAATTCTTAGTCACTCAAGCAGTGCCCAGTACGGGTTCCATTTTCTGAAGTGGGCCTTGGGTCAAATCAGTTATTGGTTGATTATTCCATAAGCTTTGTGCCACTATTGCCCTAGCATATCTTAAAGGTACTATACCCAAAAAGGGTGTGTGGCTGGCTTGGGGTTATATTTCTTTTTTGATACCATATAGAGCATCTCCCTGCAACAAAGACACTGAAACACAGTAATAAAGGCTCTATGTTGACATATCCATTTTCACTGATTGTGTGGGTATTGCTATTAGCAATGGAGCCTTACAGTTGGTATGTGGAGAACAACCTATAGTCTTGGTAACAGCCTGGATCATTTGGGGGATTTCCTTGGTGCCACTTTGAATAGCAACTCAATTAGATGTCACCCAAACCCAATACTGGAAGCATCATGTGGTGTCAGGAAATGGCTAGTTGGGAATCTATTTGCCCCATTATTTGGCAATTTCATTTAGACCACCTTCATATATGTATATATTTTAGGAAATTTATACAGTATTAGGTTTCTATAATACCTCTTGAATTCACCTTAATTTTATCTGCCTGTCCCTGTATTTCATCCCCAAGTCCCTCATACCCAACATCACTTGATACTCCATTTCCAGCTCCCATTTCATCAAGATCTATCTATTCTACTTAATTTTCCTAATGAGATCTATCTGTTCCCTCTAGTACCTAACTCTGTGGTTTTATTGTAGCTGGGTATTATTGACTTAATACCTAGCACTCTCATATAAGCAAATACATACCACATTTTCTTTCTTGGTCTGGGATACATCACTTAAGATGATTTTTTATGTCTTTTTTCTTTTTTTATTTGTATTATTTATTTTTACATCCAGACCTGCAGTTTCCCCTCCTTCCTCTTCTCCCAGTCCCTACTCACCCAACCTCCGCCCTGCTTCACCCCCATCCACTTCTCAATTTGTTTAGAAATTTGCAATCCTCCTGTGATATCAACAAAACATGGCATAACACGTTGCAGGAAGACTAAGTGCCTCCCTTCATATTAAAGGTAGACAATGTAGTCCAGTCTCCAAGGGAGACCCAAGTTTTCCCTCTTGAGCCCTCCGTGTTACTTAGTTTCTCATGGTCTGTGGATTGTAGCATGGTTCTCCTTTACTTTATATCTAATATCCACTTATAAGTGAGTATATACCATGTTTGTCTTTCTGGGTATCTCCTTACACCACTCAGAATGTGATGCAATCTAATATCACCTGAAGGGAGACTCAAGGAGGGGTTTTCTAGATCAGGTATATTGTAGGCGTGATTGTGGAAGATCTCCTTGATTACATTAGTTGATGTAGGAAGATCCATTCCATTGTGAGGCTCTCCATCCCATGCTTGGGTCCTGGAATGTTTATGAAGAACATAGAAAGTAGGTTGAGGTGTGCAGACATGCATTCATTCTCTCTCTGCATTGGACTGTGAAGTAACATGACAAGCTGTTTCCAATGCCTGCCACCTTGACTTCCCATCAGTGAAGGACTGCAATTTGGAATAGAGAGACAGAATTAAGCCTTTCTATGCTAAGTTGCTATTATCAGTGCATTTTATCATGGCAATAGAAATGAAGCTAGGGCAATAGGCAAAATGAGTGATTTTCTTAACTCAACTGCACTAGAATTGACAAATGGGTTTTAACATTTTGAAGCAGAGAGGTAAATGAAATGTCATTACAAGAACATCGTGACCAAAAGCAGCTTTATTTGGCTTACCCTTCTAAATTACAGTTCATTATCAAAGGTAGATGATATGTTTCTGCTGACGCAAAAGGCCAGATCAGACCAGACTAAAAGCAGATAAATACAAGTTTATAGGCATTGCTTCTGGGTGGGTTCGTAGATCCCAAATAATGGGGACAGAGAAGTTGAGCACCAGGGTGAAGGCAGGGAGTTTTTAATAGACCTTAGGTGAGGGGTGATGACCTACCAGCCCATAGATGGGACTGTGTCCAAGTATAGTGAAAGGCTAAACCCCTGTGAAGGCACTTGGGTGGGCTGGCCATGTCAGAAAGGCAGTTACAACATCTGCCAGAAATGTGGAACTGGGCTTTTGGCACCGTTCAATTCAAAGTTTTCTCAGTGTGGATGGGGTTAGGGGAAGTAGAGTAGACAGGGTTTCCTAGCTTGTCTTGGACTAGATACCAGTTAGTGAGGCACCACAGCCTCAAGAGGCCCTTAGGGACTAAGTGGATACAGTGTAAGTTTCAGAAAAGGATTATTTCTGCTAGGTTTATGAGTCTTTCTGAAAATGTACCCTGAACAGCTGCCCCCATACAGCTGCCTGAACCACATTATTTTTATTTCTAAATAATAGACATGGTTCCCATCTCACACTAAGTCATTGTGTGCAGAGAGAACCAAGGCATCTCTTTTCTTCAGAGCAGAATAGGTTCTCTCATCTTCACAGACATCAGAAAGAGCAGACTTCCTTAGATCTCATGTTGTCTGACCCTGACTCCTGCCCTGAGACTCCTCACAGTGTCCTGCTGCTGACACTCCTGATGCTATGTCTCAGTAGAATCCATTCCTCCTTGCCTGTGGGTCTGCCCTGCCTATAGAATCCAGCAGCTCCAGAAAAACACAGGCACTGCCACAGAAGGGAAGGTGAGGGCACTGTCTGTGACCCCTATGAGCACTGGCTCCATAGGTCCATCAGCTGCAGGGGTAGCCAGAAGTGTCCAACCAGATCATACTTCAAACAGCAATGAAATTTTAACGCCTCATTTGACAAAATTCTTTTCAGAAGAATTATATTTAAATCCCTCCAGCTCTGAGCCCCTTCAGAAGCAGAGCTGTCTCAGAAGCAGCTGATGGGGCTGCCTAAACTCATCCTCAGCACTCTATGCTCACGCACTGAGGCTGTGGAGTCTGAGAAGTCTGAGACATAAGTGGTAGATGTGGGCAATGATTCTTTGTCCCTACAGCTGCTCAGCTCCACCCTCCCTCAGTGTGGTTCTTCACTGTGTGCTCTGTCCTCCACCTTCCCTGCACATAATGAGTCTTACTACCTACTTCCACCTCCTTAAGAGGTACCAGGTGTTCTTCTTAATGGTGCCTGTCTTGCCAGGGTTGCCATAGTAATGTACTATAGACTGAAGGGCTAAAAACAATGCTCAAACATGTCCTCACAATTCTTGAGTCTAGAATCCCAGACAGAAGATGTTTGATGGGCTGTTCTCTTCTTAGGCTCCTCTCTCTGCCTTGTAGGTAGCATCTTTCCCTCTGTCTTCACATGGGCTCCTTCCTCTGCCTATCTCTGTGTATGTCCCCTTTTTTGCATGATGGATGGAGTCACACTCCAGGGACTCAGATCATTTTAATTACTGTATCTCTAAAGACTTAGTGCCAAATACAGTTATATTTGTAGGCTACTGGGTTTTAGCTTTGATGTATTGTGCAAATTCCTTTCATCCTATAGCAGTTCTGCACATACTCTTTTTGTTTTGACTGTTTCTAATTTTATTTATTTGGGCATTGCTGTGGGATGGTCTGTATGTCAAATTGCTCTGATTGGTCAATAAATAAAATACTGATTGGCCAGTGGCCAGGCAGGAAGTAGGTGGGACAAAGAGAGAGGAGAATTCTGGGAAGCGGAAGGCTGAGGCGGAGAGACACTGCAGCCACCGCCAGGACAAGCAGCATGTAAAGATGCCGGTAAGCCACCAGCCATGTGGCAAGGTATAGATTTATAGAAATGGGTTAATTTAAGATATAAGAACAGTTAGCAAGAAACCTGCCACGGCCATACAGTTTATAAGTAATATAACTGTCTGAGTGATTATTTTATACATGGATTGTGGGACTGCGGGGATTGGTGGAACCTGGAGAGAAGCTCTCCAGCAACAGGGCATTGTCTCAATGGTTTTTAATATAGTGGACCTTTTTCTTATTTTAACATTTTACAACACCAATTCTTTGATTCATTAATTGCTTATATTTTTTTGTATTTATTTCTTTTTTTTGTGTGTGTGTATACACAATGTGTGTATTTGTATATGAACATGTATATCTGTCTATGTACCAATATTCATGTGTGAATACAGACACATGCAAGCACTGTGTGTGTGTGTGTGTGTGTGTGTGTGAGAGAGAGAGAGAGAGAGAGATCAGATGGCTACCTTAGGTGACAGTCCTGCCTTCTATCTTGTTTAAGACAAGTCTCTTTGTTGTTGTTCTTTTCTCTATCTACTCCACAAGATGGTCGTCAAGCTCCTGGAAATTTTCCTGTCTCCACCTCCCATTACTGCATAGTAGAGATAGGATTAAAAAGCTCACATTGCTGTTTTCAGCTGTGCCGTGGGTTCTGGGCATGTCAACAAAGGTTCTCATGCTTGAGCAGAAAGCTCTTTTACCCAGTGATCCTCCTCTCAGCCTTGCATTTTCCGTATATACTTTCTTCTTAGTTATTCTCCACCACCTCTCTTCTCTGTCTTCAATTCTGCGTTTGGGTTGCTTGCTTTTCTAGACCCTTGAGATACACTGTTAAATTGTTTATGAAACCTTCCTGATTTTGTAATGAAGGAGTTTACCACAAACTTCCCTCTTGCTGCTACTTTTACTGTGCCTCCTGAGATTCAGGCTGTTTCATATCCAGTCCCATTAATTTCCATAAATTTGTATATTTTCTCCATTTCCCATTATTTGTTCAGTAGCATTTTGGTAAATATTCATGAACTTGCATATTTTCTGTAGGTTTTTTTTTTTTGAGATAGGGTCTCTCTATTTAATCCTAGATGATAGTATGGAATTCACTATACAGATCAAGTTGGCCTTGAGTTTACAGAGATC